GTAAAGTCAACTTTCCACCTCTTTCCTGGGCTACGTCCTCAGAGAAGATGGCCCAGCCCAGGCTTCAGGCCTTGTCTGGCGTTCACCTGCGCACAAGCCATGGATCGGAAGGCCACTTGGCTAGTTAAGTCCTGGAGGTGTGGGATTTTAAAACGGCTTCTTAAAAGTTGGGCCAACTTTGTTTCTTCCAAGTGGGTGGAAGAGTGGAGGTGGCTAATTAAGGCCTCTCTGAGGGCCCGGGGCAGGGAGTCTCTGGAGTTTGGAAGGATTCACCATTCATCCTGATTTTTACTGGCTTGCAGATTCGATGCCTGCTTTTCTTCTTTAGAAGAGTACGCTGGGTGGTCGGGTAAATCAGGCTGTGGAAAAGAGATGGCTGGAAGCAGAGTTAGTGGAGTGACCTGGAGAGCCACAGCCTCACGGGGAGGGGGGCACAGTCTGCCTTTTGGTTTCCCCTAGCAATGGCCGTATTTTCCTTCTGATGTCCTTTGCAATGAATACAGCCACCTGTAGGAGGAGCCAGACAGCCTTGAGCAGGGCTCAAATCTCTTCCTTGTTTTTAACAGTTTTTCCTGCTGAGGTGAGTAGCCCCCGCTCTTGATAGATGGCCCCATGAACATGTACAGTAGCAGAAGTGTATCTGCTATCAGTGTAGATGTTAACAAATTTGTCCTTACCCCACTGGAGGCCTAAGTAAGGGCAATTAACTCAGCCTTCTGCACAGAGGCACCAGCTGGCAGTGCCTGGGCCCACAGTACATTGGTCTCCGTGGTAATGGCCGCCCCCGCTTTCCGTACCCCCTGCTTAAGGAAACTGCTACTGTCTGTAAACACAGTGGCATCTGCCTTTTCCAGAGTGTTCTGGAGATTAGGTTTACCTGTCTCTGTAGTTTCTAGTAATTCCTGGCAGTTATGGATAGGGGTGGTGAAGTCTGGATCAAGGTGCAGAGTAGCTGGATTTAAACACCTTGTCGGGGAGAAAGTTAAGCGAGGCTGATCTAACAGCAAACTTAGATACCGCAGGGTGCAGGCATTAGACATCCATTTGCCTGGAGCGCCTCGTAGCAGTTTCTACAGCATGTGGTGCTGTAAGGGTTAACTTCTGGCCCAGAGTGAGCTGCTCAGCCTCAGGAACTAGGCTTGCTGCTGCCGCAACTGCTCGCAGACAACATGGCCACCTGGAGGCCACAGGGTCCAGCCCTTTAGACAAATATGCCACTGGGCGTTGCCATGGCCCCAAGGTTTGAGTGAGCACCCCTTTGGCCACTTCCTGATTTGCATGGACAAACAAGTGAAATGGTTTTGAGATGTTTGGAAAGGCTAAAGCAGGGTCTCAGTTAGTGCCTTCTTTAAGTTTTGGAAGGCCTGCTCTTCCGTGTTAGTCCAAAGTAAAGGGCCATTTTCTCCTGTAGAGGTGTACAGAGGCTCGGCAATTCCTGCGAACCCAGGTATTCACAGGCGACAGTATCCCACAGCCCCCAAGAATTTATGTACCTGTGTTTTGGTAGTGGGGGTGGGGATTTGTAAGATGGCCTCCTTTTGAGCATTGGTGAGTGCTTTTTTTCCTTGGTTTAGTTTCTATCCCAAGTAGGAGGCCCTGGAAAGGCAAAGCTGGGCCTTTTTGGCTGAGACCTGATACCCAAGCTTTGTGGCTTTTCTGGCGGGGGTTCGGGGTCCTCCGGCTGGCGATCTGTGATGGAAGCTTTTCCTTTTTGGTTCCCTGGAGGGCAGCCACTATAATTTTTGCCTGTCTTTTCCCCGCCCTGTCGGCTGCCCTGTTAGCGGCTTGAGCTGCCTGCTTTTGTTTTTTAGCTTCTCAATTATTAAAAACCTTCTGGGGTGCTTTTAAAAGCTGAGTAATGTTTATTCCAGCAAAACCGTCCAATTTTTATAAATTTCTCCAAATGTTAGGAGCTGCCTGGGCCACAAATGCCAAATTTATAGCATGGCTATTTTCAGGAGCCGCCGGATTAAACAGGGTGTAAATTTGAGAGGCCTCCTGGAGGCATTTTAAGAACAGTCCCAGTGACTCATTGGCCCTCTGAAGAACTTCAGTGATCTTAGACAAGTTCATGGGTTTCCTGGTGGCTCCTTTAATGCCCACAAGGAGATACTGGTGGAAATCTTCCAAAGCCCTCCTTCCCGGCGAGGTGTTGGGGTCCCACTCAGGTCAGGTAGAATGAAAAGCCTCCTTAAGGAGGTCTTGGGCTTCCTCCTTAGGCTTTCCTTCTGAGCTAAGGAAAGGGTTTCTGGCTTTCCTTCTAATTCAGTCCCTCTCTTTAGAGGTGAAAATGGTAAGAAGGAGTTGCTGCCAATTATCCAGGTGGGCCTATGATGTAAGGCTGAGGGCCCCACAGAGTCGTGGGGTGAGCCTTATGCTGTGCTGAGGCGCAGGATCCGAGAAGTAAAGAGACAGGACACAGAAGTACAAGGAAAATGCAGCTGGGCTCGGGATGCCACGCCACCTATGAGCGGAGTCAGGCGAGGCCCCGAATGTCCAGAAGCGTGAGTATTTATTGTGTGTAGGTTAGGGGGCAGGGCAGTGAGTGAAGTCATCTTTAAGGATAGTGATAGGGTCGTGAGCAATAAAACAAGGGGTCCACCCCCATTAGGTCACCTAGGCCGGGAGGTGGACAGTGCACAGCAAGGGGTCCATTCCCATTAGGTCACCGAGGCTTGAAGGTGGGTTGTGTGCAGTGAAGAGGGTGCAGTGTGCAATACCTCTATGGGCAAGTGACTAAGAAGATTTATGGGAGGATGCTTTAAGTCACATAGCAGTGACAGAGCTGTCAGGGTCTACACCACCTACTGGCAGTTTCCAATGAGTTCTACAGGGGAATGCTTTTCAAGCTGCACAGTAGCAAGAGTTGGTAAAGTTCACAGTCACCAAGGTGGATTGCTGTTCTGAGGGCAGCCTTCCACAAGAACTGGAGCAAGGTCCTACAACTCCTTTATCAGGAGGAGTGGCTCTCGCCCCAAGCCTGCCATACAACAGGTATCTTTATGATACGGAACGCTGCCGCCTGGGCCATGGGTTCTTGTCCTATTGTAACTGTTTTTCCCTTAAATCATGCTCTGCACCGTGTCTGCTCTAGACATTCCTCCAATTATAAGCTGCTTATTTCTTAATTTGAGCTCTGTACTGTGTCCACTCTAGGCATTCCTCTGATTATAAACTAAGATGGAGTCATATATAGATATATATATGGAAATAGCTGAGTAGTAACACTGTAAACTGAGATACTCTCCAGGCCCTAATTCTATAAACTAATATATGATTATATAAAGGATTATATAAAAGGAAGTAACTGAATAGTAACACTGTAAACTGAGATATTCTTCAGGCCTTAATTGTGCCAGGATTCTGCTTAGCTCCCTTTCCTCGCTACCTGTATGGGGGGTTACCCACTCTATGAGTCTGGAGCACAGACTCCTTTAGTGGTTAGGACTTGGGGCTTCTCAGAAAACGGAGGATTTTGAGCCCTCCAGTTGTACAGGTTAGAGGTGGAAAATGGAACATAGACTAAAAACGGAGCAGCAGAACGCTCACTGCCTGATGGGGGTGGTGCCTCCCTTAAGGGGAGGAGTGGGGTAGCTTTCTCTGACTGGCCATAGCTGTAAGGCAATGGGCGGAGAAACTGCCAGAGACAAGGGCTTAGCGGGTAGAGGCGGCGAGGGGCTGCAAGAGGTGTTGTTGAAGAAATTGTGGGGGATCCTTGGGGAACAGGGGGGTTATAAGGTGGGGGTAATGGGTGCAGATAGCTTTCCTCTTCCTCAGAGGAAGGCAACATGGGGAGCAGAAGGGGCCGCTCGAGCAATAGGTTGGGGCCAGGAGGGGATTTTATTTAGAGGTGGGATTATGAACAGTGCAAGATTGGAGCCACGAGGGAGGGTTCTGAACCAAACTAAGCCATTGATTAATATAAGGGAACTGGTTAGGATGTCCAGGCTTTCTGGAAACAACCTGCCATACAGCTTGAACTGTTGTGAGGTTTAATGACCCTTCTGAGGGCGACCGGTTTTAAATTTTGGCCATTCCACTTTACAGAGTCTGGAGTTTGCCTTTTTAAAGGTGGACTCCTTAGTCCTCTGAGAAGCCTAGAGAGAAATTTTTTTTTAACATACTGTAGGGGGCTCGGCGACTGGGGCCGAGAGGAAGAGTTTCCCATCTTTGAAAGCAATAGTTAACAGGATTTTTAAGCAGAGATATCGGACCCAGCATGGACAAAAGTATGGCCTGCAGGCATGGGGAATTGGAAAAACAGGAAGATTATAACCAGAAGAAGTAGGAATAAGGTTATAGCCAATGCTTTTTGCCACATAGGGTTTTCTTAAGCTTTGAGTTATGGGGAGAAAGCTAATGACCCAGGGAGGCTTTTTTACGCCGCTGCCTGGGACTGGGGAACACTGGAGAGGTTTGCCAGAACCAAGCACCAGGCCGCTGAGCTCCCTGGTTCCCTGCAGGCTCAGGGTTTACCTTGCCCCTCCCCGATTCAGCTTGCCTGGGGCTGGGCAGTTCGAGCCTGCAAGGAGTGAAAGGTCCTGGGGGCAGTGCTTGGTTGCCTTGTGCCGAAGGCCTTGCCCCACAGGCTCCCAAAGGAAAACTGCACTTTTAAATTCCGTCCGGTGTGCCACTGTGGCTGGGCACTGCTGCTTCGGTGTTTTTTTTTTTTTTTTTTTTTAATTAATTTATTTTTTTATAAGATGCGATTTCACCATGATGGCCAGGCTGGTCTTGAACTCCTGACCTCAGTTGATCCACCCACCGCGACCTCACAAAGTGCTAGGATTACAGGCATGAGCCACCACACCCGGCCCTGCTTCGGTGTTCTTAAAGAGACAGGACAGAATGACACGTTTGGGGTAAAGGGTGGGGGTGAGGAGGAAAAGGGCCACCCAAATTTTTTTTAAAAGATGAGAGAGCACCCACGTGGGAAGGTAGTAGGTGTTTAGGAAAAGTAGAGCATTATGGGTATAGGTTTTTTAATACGGTGCCCTGTTTAAGGGCACTGGGAAAGTTGTGGGGTGACAGAAAAGGTGGGCAAGGAGGTTTGCAGGATGGCTATTTTGAATCCACCACTGTTTTGAGAAAAAAGATGTACCCAGTCTTTGGGGCGTGGGGTGTGACAATTCAGATGCCAACAATCTTTGTCGTGCCACAATTTACAGACTGGTGAATGTTTTTTACAACTTTCCCCGTAACAACACCTGATCTGTGTTTGACAGAAAAGGCAGGACTGGGACGGCCAGCCCAACCAGCAAATGGTTTACTTCCTTAGGTAGGAAAAGATTTACTTCCTTAGGTAGGAAATCTGTATGGAGTACCTTAAAGAAGTTTTCCCCTAGTCGCCTTGGGCAATAGCTGCGGCAGACATACAGACTTAAGCAGACTCCAGCAGAGCAATAGCCACTGGGACACACAAACAGAAATCTGAGTCCCGTGTTGGGATTAGTCAGATGCCCCCCTGGCCGTTCCCCTGACGGAGATGTTGGGCTCCTCTTAGCATCAGCAGATTGTGATAAACCCCTGATTAGGACTGAGCTCGGCTCACTGCCATTAGCCTTATGAGGTAGCCATGGAAACACAGGTAAAAGCCCTCTCTCGCTCTGCAGCTTCTGCTGTGGAGCTGAAAATTGGAATTTTAAGGGCACGCCCTTGAACCCCCCATTCACTCACACAGGCACTCACCGTTTACACACTTTATTGCACTTTTTATACTCGTTTTAAGATACAGCCCGCTCTATTGAACAAGAAAGAGAGAAAGAGAGAAACCAGAGACACTAACAGAAACCGCGACTTTGCCTTCCAGCATGCTGGAGTGCTGGCAGAGCCAACAGAAACCAGGACTCTGTCCTCCAGCATGCTGGAGTGCTGGCAGAGTATGAGGGAAGGCCCTCGTCAGGACCGATTCCCTCCCAGAGTCAGATTTAACTTACCTTCCCGGGACCACAGACAGAGGACTCAGGAACCGAATTTGGCGGCCACTCCGGTGGTCAATTTGTTCCCCTCCGGACAGCAGTGGGCTACAGGTCCCTGAAAAATCTCAGGGGGCGCCTCTATAGGCCACTGTTCATCTGGGGGCCAGAATGAGCCTGGTTACACCCGGTGGGGACAAAAATTACAATACCTCACTGGGGCCTCCAAAATGTTGTACCCAAGCGAGTTAAGGAATGCGCCACACTCTGAGATTGAGTTATGAGTCCTTTATTATGCCGGCAACCAAGAGGTGGCTAATGCCCAAAATTCTCTCGGCCCCTAAGAAAAAGTTAGGTGGCCTTTTATACCTTAGTTTTAAAGGGGAAGGGGAACCTAGCTGAAGCAAATTTTTCACAGAAGCAGAGTAAGGAAAAAGTTAAAAGATAAACTAGTACGTGAGAAATAAAACAATGCCAGCTGGGAGGGGTAGAGCTGTCATGAAAGACATACAACTTATAGATAATGGGGGCTCGACAGCACCTGCATTCCCAGGCTCTGCTGGTACCACTTAGCTCGGCCTCTTATTAATAAATGCATTCCTGGAGGTGCCCAGTGTCAGCCTGCCCCAGCTACATACTACAGTTACATACTTAATGGTGGGAAAATAACTAAAATGAAGAAGGTAAGATGGAGTCTGTATGGCTCAAGAAGTTAACATGAAACGTGAACAGCTTTTAGTCTGAGAGAGTTAATTTTAGCTGGCAAAAAGCAGGTTATCACAATACTACCTACCATGCAGTGGTAGAAAAGGCCTCCTGACCATGGGGCCAGATGAAGCCTGCAGGAAAGCAGATTAACACTCACTGAGCAGGCCAGGCATGGTGGCTCACACCTGTAATCCCAGCACTTTGGGAGGCTGAGGCGGGCTGATCACTTGAGGTCAGGCGTTCGAGACCAGCCTGGCCAACATGGTGAAACCCCATCTCTATTAAAAATAAAAAAAATAAGCAGGTGTGGTGGCGTGAGCCTGTAGTCCAAGCTACTTGGGAGGCTGAGGCAGGAGAATTGCTTGAACCCGGGAGGCAGAGGCTTTAGTGAGCTGAGACCGCGTCACTGCACTGTAGCCTCCTCACTTCACAGCGGAGGCCACAGGGGTACCCACACTGTTTCCCTGTGGGCACTGGGGTCTCCAGACAAGAGGCTGGAGGTAGCCTGCAGTCATCCCTGGAACAGCCCAGGGAATGTGCCTGCTGTATTCCCCGGGACAAGCTCACCACCCGCCCACCCAGCCCTGCTACAACTCCTAAGCAAGAAATCGCATCAGCTGAGTTGCAAGTGACATGAGGAAAGCTCCAACCTACTTTATTTAGAAAGGGGAAAGGTCAGGGGAGGGAAATAGTCAAAAACTGCACGTCCTTCCTTGGACACATCTACCCTCTGAGACACTGGCCCGTGGCATCCCACTGAAAGGATTTCTTTAGGCTGGCTCTTTGACACTCCTCCTGTGTCTGGGCTCTGGGCCACTGGCTGCACTGGCCCCTGGCCCAAGAAGGCCAGGTCCAGCAACATCTGGCCCATTCTAGTTGATGTAGTACACCTTGGCGCCATCAAAATAGGCGCGGGTCATGTAGTTCTTATTCCTAAGGGGCCACCAGTGGTCAGGGTGGTAGGTGGCTGGGTAGACATGGGGCTGGTGCTGAACACAGCTGAAGAGCGCCAGGCTGCGGTCTGTGGCCACAGTGGGCAGGTAGAGCCGCAGCTTATCCAGAAGGTGGCCCGGCCAGAAGGAGTTGGGGTGCGTTTGCTGCAGACCACTGGCCCTCTTTGCCTTCAGCTTCCTGGAAAACAAGAAGACACAGGGATGCTTGCCATGGCAATCAGGCCAGGGCTGAGGCTTCTCCCAGAGCCCACCAACTGGGACCAAGTAGAAATTTAGCACTGTGTCAAGCACTTCAGCAACTCAGTCCTCCCCACAGTTCCATAGGGTTGGCTCTGTTATCCTGTCGACCTCACCTGTGAGGACCCAGAGGCCTGGAGAGGCCGACACACACTGAGCAAGTGGCCAGTGCAGGCGTCACCCCCTGTCCAACACCTCTAAAATCCAAAGTCTTAAGCGTAAGCCATCTGTCATCCGGAGGCATTTTAATGCAGTGTTTGGAGTACAGTCCCTGGAGTCACCCTAGCTGGGTTCAGATCCCCACTCCACCACTTCATTGATGTGTGACTCTGAGCAGGACATTGACCCTTTCTGCGCCTCAGTTTCTGCCCGTGTAAAATGAATGTGCTAAGTGCCCCTTCATAGGGCTGTTGGGAGGATTTGGGTGAATGAACACATGGAAAGCCCCAGGGCAATGCCTCCTGGCCCTCCCCGTGTTGTCGCTGCCTCTCAGGCCAGGGCCCCAGGCCCAGCTGTTGTGCCAGGAGCACCGAGTCCCAGTTGTCTCAGGCAAAGCTGCCCCTCCTCCCACCTTCTTTCCTTATGGAGTGAGATGATTGCCACAGACCTGCTAAATTCCTCAAACTCCTTAAACTGCATTTTCTTGATTTTCTTTGGCGTTTTCCTAGTGGAGGAGAGAGAGGCATTTTGTGAGGAGACTGGAAATTGAGGCCATTGGGGCTTTAGGGAGTAGGTCAGGGGCTGCAGGGGTGGGCCCATTTCTAAGTCTCAAAGCAGAGCTCTGAAAGAAAAACGTCTTTCACCTGGGGTGGGCCCTGACTCCGTGCTGCCATGTTCCAGGGGAACACAGTGGGCTTGGGGCAGTCGGACCTAGCCTCAGAATCTGGCCAGGTGACCTGGGCAAGTCACTTTCCCTTTCTCATCCTCGGTTCTCTCATGGCCGAGAACAGAGAGCTCTCAGGGTAGTTATGAGAGAGGCTCACTAAGTCACTGCTGAATCCTTTTGGGGTCCCTGGCTCCCACTCCCCACTCCAGAGCTTAACCCAACCCTGAGGACAAAGGTGGTGAAATCTAACCCCCTCCCACACTACCTCACAACCCTGAGCCTGACAGACATCACTAATCGTTCACCACACTCTTCCACCAAGCCTCCGTCTGGCCTCAGAATTTTCTATAACCCTAAAGAGTCGATGTCTCTCCTTGACCTAGGAGACCTCTCTTTATCCTTTATTAGCTATAACCTACCTAAGCACGGACCAAAATCTCCTTCCTATATTGCCAGCCACTTCCTGGGTCATCCCGGGGCTGGAAGGCAGTCACAGCCGATTTTGTGGCCGGGACTCACCTGCGGGCCTGGGCCTACTCCTGCCCTTGAGAACAGCGTTGGGCCTACCCTGACCAGAGCAAGGTAAAATAACAATGATCATTGATGGACTGCTGTCACTGCTAAGATGTTGACACTCTTTCTCATCTGATCCTCTTAGTCTATGGTAGGAGCGGCTAGGCCCCTTTACACATGAAGATGCTGAGGCTCAGAGAAGTGCTTTATCCATTTAACCAGAGGGCTGTCTGATCTCTACAAGGCCCTGCTGCATCCCACCGCAGGCATTCTGGCCACATACCCAGTGGGCAGCTGGCAGGGGTCTAGAGGCAGGGGCAGGTGCAGGCCCCTCCGCCTCATGGTATCTGGCCAGCTGGGCCCCTCCCTCCGCAGGGATGCTGCCTTGTTCCTCTGCAGTCACCCACTTATGCTGCCCACGGGTTATCACCTGCTGCTTGACTCAAATCTGGGAAGCTTAGGCTTTGGAGTACCAAAGAAGGCCATTTTCTTAAAGAGGACTCAGGTTGGTCTCCCGGAAGGGCTAGGGACAGGGCCCAGGGAAATGTTCCTTTCTCCTCCCAGGAGCTGCAAGCCCACCTCTTGCCAGAGAAGGGGCGTGTCAGAGGCAGGGTGGCAGGGCTGAGAAAGGGCTGCCCCCCTGTTCTCTGCAGGGCCCTGACCCCTAGTTGGGGATTTGCAAAGGCCCTTACTCCAGCCCTGTTCTCTAAGATGGCCCTCCTTTTCATCTTTTCCAGAAACCTTGCGATTGTACAGGACTGGGGTCAGGAGGGTAGCTGTGTGGGAACTGAGGCTAGCACACCGTGATCCTGAGACATGTGCCAAAGGTGACTCGGGACTGGCCAGTCTGCAGTGAGCAGTCAGGTTGGGGATGCTGCCCTAGGACGCGTACATGGGCACAGCATGGCGCCCCAGGTATGCCAGCCTCCAGCCCCCACACTGAAGGGACAGCAACGGGGCAGGAGGCCAGGGCAGGGAGAAAGGGGGTCTGAAACTCAGCTTGTCAGTCTTAGACTCGCCAGCGCCCTGGGACTGGAGCAGAGCCACATTTGGAGAAAAGACCTTCCAGTCAGAGTAGTAGCCTCCCGGCTGCCGGATGGGGCGCACCTCATCCTTCTGGAAAATGATCTTGTCTCCTGGGTACAGCAAGGCTGGGGATAGCAAGAGAAACATCTGCCGCCATCAACCCGGACTGCCCATCCCTCCCTGAGCCGCTGGGATCAGATGAGGTTTGATGTTGTTTTCAATTCGCATTTTTGTTTAAGAAATTTTTTTCTGCGCCGGGCGCAGGGGCTCACACCTGTAATCCCAGCACTTTGGGAGGAGGCCAAGGTGCATGGATCATGAGGTCAGGAGTTCGAGACCAGCTTGACCAACTTGGTGAAACCCCGTCTCTACTAAAAATACAAAAATTAGCCTGATGTGGTGGCATGCACTTGTAATCTCAGCTACTCGGGATCTGAGGCAGGAGAATTGCTTGAACCTGGGAGGTGGAGGTTGCAGTGAGCTGAGATGGAGCCACTGCACTCCAGCCTGGGTGACAGAGTGAGATTCCATCTCAAAAAAAAAAAAAAAAAAAAAAAAGTTTTTTTCTTATCTATATAGTAACTTTTTATTGTCGCATAGTTGTAGATTCACTGGTAGTTTCAACAACACGGCAGAGGGCTCCCTTGAACCGCTGCCCCAGTGGTGACATGGCATCCAGCTGTACTATGATATCTGGAAAGGGGCCTTGGGACAATAGGGCTTAGGGGACTAGAGATGAGGGGGCTGGTTTATAACCAGGTCAACAAAGGCCCCGAGGCCTGGGTGCAATGAGGTCTGAGCTGTCCTGGGAGGAGGCAGGAGAATTTCATCAACACTTCACTAGGGTAACTTAGACCTGCTTTCTGTCTTGTTTTGTTTTTCTGAGGCAAGGTCTCACTCTGTCACCCAGGCTAAAGTACAGATCACGGCTCACTGCAGCCTCAATTTCCTGGGCTTAAGCGACCCTCCCGCCTTAGCCTCCTGAGTAGCCAGGGCCACAGGCATGCACGACCATGCCTGGCTAATTTCTTAAATTTTTAGTAGAGATGGGGTCTTGCTATGTTACCCAGGCTGATCTGAAACTCCTGGACTCAAGCCATCCTACCTACCCTGGCTCCCAAAGAGCTGGGATTACAGGCGTGAGCCACTGCACCCGGCCCACTTAGATTTGTTAGGTGGCGGTTTTCTCCTTGTTTGAATTAATCTCACGGATATCCTTAGGAGAGTTTTCTAAGACGTGCTAAATATAAAAGAACTGAGCCAGGGTCTCCACCTTCCTGCAACTATTGAGCAGTGCTTGTCTTAAGATGATAACACATGAAATCTCACGTTCTAGAAAAAGTGATGGAAGTTACACTCCAGCTAGTCAATGTTGCTTATTTGGGGGTTGGGAAGGGGCTGTGGAGGTGAGAAGGAAGGAGAGCGAAGGGGAGATATGTTAACATCAATATTTTCAAAAGGTATACATGATTTTTTAAAGTATGATTTAAAAGTGACTCACGTCTATAATCCCAGCACTTTGGGAGGCCAAGGCAGGTGGATCACGAGGTCAAGAGATCGAGACCATCCTGGCCAACATGGTGAAACCCCGTCTCTACTAAAAATACAAAAAATTAGCCGGACATGGTGCATGCCTGTAATCCCAGTTACCTGGGAGGCTGAGGCAGGAGAATTGCTTGAAACCAGAAAACCGAAGTTGCAGTGAGCCAGGATTGCACCACTGCACTCCAACCTGGCGATAGAGTGAGACTCCATCTCAAAAAAAAAAAAAAAAATTGATTTAAAAATGAGTTATGTGGCCGGGCACGGTGGCTCAAGCCTGTAATCCCAGCACTTTGGGAGGCCGAGGCAGGTGGATCACGAGGTCAAGAGATTGAGACCATCCTGGTCAACATGGTGAAACCCCGTCTCTACTAAAAAAACAAAAAATTAGCTGGGCACGGTGGTGCATGCCTGTAATCCCAGCTACTCAGGAGGCTGAGGCAGGAGAATTGCCTGAACCCAGGAGGCGGAGGTTGCGGTGAGCCGAGATAGTGCCCTTGCACTCCAGCCTGGGTAACATGAGTGAAACTCCGTCTCAAAAAAAAAAAAAAAAAAAAGAGTTATGTAAATAATTTTCTATAAATGAGAAAAAGAGATTTGTGAAAGGATGGTCACTAAAATATTCACAATGGCCAACTTAGACTGGGGGAATTTTGATTTTTATGTTTTCAAAAAATTCAAATGAGCAAGCATTATCACCAAAACCAGGGTGGAAAGCCAATAAAGCTGTATTCACAGGGACGGGAGACCTTGTTTAGAATTCTGGCTCCTGAGCTTTAGGCCTGGAGTCTGAGTCACCAGTGTCTCATCTAGAACTCAGGGCTGGAAGTCCTGATAGTTGAGCCTCTCTACCTGCAGAAGATCAGGCCTCTGTCCTAAAGATACCCAACAGACAGTGGGCAAGACAGTGGTCAGAGATGGATTAGGGCCTAGTCCCAGCCACAGGACGCTCCATGTGCCTGTGAACATGGGATCCTGCAGACAGCTGAAGCTCACCCATGTAGGAACCCAGGAGCTAGCAAAAACCAGGGGTGGGGAGAATCAACAGTGGTCCAAAGCTGGATGCAGTGGCTCACGCCTATAATCCAGTACTTTGGGAGGCTGAGGCGGGAGGATCACTTGAGCCCAGGAGTTTGAGATCAGCCTGGGCAACAAAGCAACCCCATCTATAAAAAAAAAAAAAAAAAAAAAAACAAAAAAACAGTGGCTCAATGTTCTGGTGAGGACAAAGGAGACACACAGGGGAAGACCTAACCTGGAGGAGCAGTCCAGGGCGCATGGCAAGCCAGCTTGCATTTTAAAAGAGAGCTGCAAGTCTACCACTGCATAAGACCATGGGGTAAATAATCAGGAAACGTGAGGCTCCCCAAGGAAGGAGGAAGGAGAGACGTTTGGTGAAAAGTGTGCATCCACAGCTGCAGGCTCTCCCTCTGTCTCTGCCCTCCCAGCCCAGGCAGCAGGTGTGGGGGACAATGACCACTGAAGTTGCCTGCCTGTGTTCCTGACAGCCTCTGACCACATTCCCCTGTACACGTTTCTTATGGGCCAAACTGTGTCTCCCTAAAATTCGTATGTTGTAATTCTAATCCTTAGTACCTTAAAATGTGATATGTGTGTGTGTGCGTGTGTGTCTGTGCATGCACGTGTGTGTAAGAGAGAGAGAAAGGATCTTGCTCTGTCGCCTAGGCTGGAGTGCAGTGGTGCGATCTCGGCTCACTGCAACTTTGACCTTCTGGGCTCAAGTGATCCTCCTACCTCAGCCTCCTGAGTAGCTGGGACTATAGGCATATGCCACCATGTCTGATGAATTTTTGTATTTTTTATAGAGATGGGGTTTTGTGATGTTGCCCAGGTTGTTCTGAAAATCCTGAGCTCAAGCAATCCACCCACCTCGGCCTCCCAAAGTGCTGGGATTACAGGTGTGAGCCATTTTACCCTGCTAGAATGTGACAGTTGAGGTTAAAAAAGGATGTGACTTTATTTGGAGATTTTGTTTTGTTTTCGTTTTGATTTGTTTTTTAAGACGGGGTCTCACTCTGTCACTCAGGCTGGAGTGCAGTGGTATGATCATAACTCACTATAGCCTTAAACTCCTGGGATCAAGCTCTTCTCCTGCCTTGGCCTTCCAAAGTACTGGGATTTCTGGGGTGAGCCACTGTGCCTAGCCTGGAGATAAAGTCTTAAAGGAGGTGATCAAGCTAAAACAAGGCTGTCCATGGATGGGCCCTAATCCAATCTGACTGGTGTCCTTATAAGAGAAAATGTGGACACATAAGAGAGACACCAGGTGTGCATGTGCAGAGAAAAAACCGTGTGGAGGCAGCAGGGAGGCAGTCATCTGCCAGCCAAGGAGAGAGGCCTTGAAGGCCTTGGAAACCAGCCCTGCTGGCATCTTGACCTGGGACCTCCAGCCTCCAGAACAGTGAAAACATTAATTCCTGTTGTGGAATCCACCCAGTCCACAGACTGGTATTTTGTTATGGCAGCCCTAGCAAAGTAATTGAAGAAGACCCAAGGCCCTATACATTTAGCATTTGTTTCCCCCCCTCTTGGGAAAAAGATGGTAATAATCCATTGTGACTGTAAAGTCTAGTTCTCACGTAAGTCACACCACTGCCTATGTGATGTGTTCCTTTCTCAGAAAGCCACATTTCCCAGTATGGCCACAGTTCCTCCCTATGTAGCGGTTCCTAGGAGAAAACCTCTGCCTCCAGGTACAGCTTGCTCCGTCACGTTTGTAAAGCACAGAGAGGATGCTGCCCATTAAATTTATACATTCTCCAGGCCACATGTGGGGGCTCATGCCTGTGATCCCAGGATTTTGGGAGGCTGAGGTGGGTGGATCACTTGAAGTCAGGAGTTCGAGACCAGCCTGGCCAACATGGTGAAACTCTGTCTCTCCACAAAATACAAAAGCAGCCATGCATGGTGGTGCGCGCCTGTAGTCCTAGCTACTCAGGAGGCTGAGGCAAGAATTGCTTGAACCTGGGATTGGAGGTTGCAGTGAGCCAAGATCATGCCATTAGACTCCAGCCCAGGTGACGGAGTAAGACTCTGTCTCAAAACAAAACAAATTTATACATTCACCAGTTCATAAGTTTGGAATGCAGACATTGCTCAATTGTCATCTAGGAGCTGAACCCTTCTCCACCCCCACCTATTAGAAGTGTTCGCCCCCCAGAGACGCAGTGGGCTCAGAACAGCTTGAATGTATGAAAACATGTTGTCCACCCAAGCAGAGGGCAGAAGCAGTGTGGAAATCTCAAGGCTGAGTCTGAGCGTTCTCTGCTCAAAGGGCCTCAGCCAGTCCTGTCTCTGGGTGCATTTGTACCTCACTGCTTGTTACAGAAGAACCAAGCAACAGTCTGGCCCAGAGAAGGGCTTTGTTCTGACAGCAGTTATCGTTTCTATCAAACCTCCCTCTTCCTTTATGTTCAACCTCAGGGCTTTCTCACTCAGAACTCCTGTCCTTGGAGCTTTCCACTCTAGAATGAGCTTCCGGCTCACCAAGCTCAGGGTTCCAGAATCCAGACCTCCCAGCCTTGTGTTCTAGAAATTCCATCTAGCAGCAAAACAGACTGGGCTCCTCCTCTTCTCCTCCATGCCCCCACTCTGCCTTATTCCCAATGTCCCCACCAGAGACCACACTGGCTTGAATGGCTGCACGGGTACCTTGGGTGGCATCACTTTTGTCCCAGCTCTGGGGTCCCCTTAGCATCTTCCTAGAGCCAGCCACCCAGGCCCTTACCTTTCATGAGGATGTCCTCTGTCAGCGGGATGCCATAGGACTCGCAGAGCTTCCAGCACTGCAGGTAGACCAGAAAGGTGTGCCTGCGGGCTGAGTCAATGAGCTCCCTCATATCCCCGTGGATGGTGGATGGCAGGCAGTGCTCGTCAAAGTGCTGATTCCCACAGCGCACCATGCGGCAGTGTTCCGTGTACTGGATGGAGGGGATCGTGAGCTGTGAAGGAAGCAGAGAGGGGTTCACCCTTCTCTTGCCTGTGTCCCTTCTGGTCAGAAGGCAGATGCAGTGCCTCATCGACCTCTCCCCTACAAGGTCCCTAGGAGGGGTGATGGCAACCAATGTCCAGTGGGGCTGCAGTTCAGATTCTGAAGTCAGTGAAGACTTCAACTGACTTCAGGTTTGGAAGCTTAGGTTCTGAAGTCACAGCCCTGTAGATGGGTGTGCAGCATGCACACATGATTGTGTAATGTATATACAGTAAAACACAGTACACATGCCCTAGAGGCGTCCTATTGAAAAACAACATTCGCAGGACCACAAGGTGGTTCACACCTGCAGTCCCAGCACTTTGGGAGACCAAGGCAGGAGGATCACTTGAGCCCATGAGTCCAAGACCAGCCTGGGCAACATGGCAAAATCCTGTCTCTATAGAAAATACAAAAATTAGCTGGGCATGGTGGTGCATGCCTGTAGTCCCAGCTTCTCAGGAGGCTGAAGTGGGAGGATGGCTTGAGCCTGGGAAGTTGAGGCTGCAGTGAGCCAAGATCAAGCCACTACACTCCAGCCCGGGCAGTAGAGTGATAATGTCTCAAAAAAAGAAAAGAAAAGTGACAGTTGAGTGTTTGGCTGCATGGGAATTTAAATTAGGAGCAGCCATCGGTGACCTTGAGATAAAAGCCATGAGATAAGGCAGGAGGGGGCTGGGGAGCAGGTAGCTGCTTTTGCTGGCTGCCACCACCTTCTTGTTTTTTTTTGTTTTTTTTTGTTTGTTTGTTTTTAAAAAACCTATATTTTAAAGCTTCTACAGGATTAGCAAAGAACAGCCCATGGGCCAAATCTGGCCCAGCACCTGTTTTTATAAATAAAGTTTTGTTGGAGCGCTGCCACTCTCATTTGTTTAGATGCTGCCTGCAGCTGCTTTCCTGCTGCAACAGCAGAGCTGAGCAGTTGCAATGGACAACAGATGGCCCGCCAGGCCTAAAATGCTTACTCTCTGGCCCTTTCCAGGGGATCTTTGCTGGTCCCTGCTCAAACATTTTGGGTATTCCCGTCGTGCAACTGAATCAAATCTTAGTTGATATAGCACTTAGCAATATCTGCCATTTTATTATATGTACAAATACAAATATCACAGGTATAAATACAAATATGTATCTTTATTATATACATGTTTATTTTATTTTGCTAGAGACACGGTCTCACTCTGTAGCCTGGGCTGGGGTGCAGTTGTACAATCATAGCTCGCTGCAGCCTTGACCTCCCAGGCTCAAGCCATCCTCTGGCCTCAGCCTCTTCAGTAGATGGAATCACAGGACATGACTCCATGCTGGCTAATTTTTAAAAAATTTTGTGTAGAGACGGGGCCTTGCTATGTTGCCCAGGTTGGTCTCAAACTCCCGGCCTCGAGTGATCCTCCAACTCTGGCCTCCCAAAGTGCTAGGATTACAGGTATGAGCCACTGCATCTGGCCTGTATATAATCTTTTTTTGTTAGGCAAGGGCATGCTGTTTACCCCAGTGCAGTGCTGCGATTTTAGCTCACTGCAGTCTCAGCCTCCCGGGCTCAGGGAATCCTCTTACCTCAGCCTCCCGAGTAGCTGGGACCACAGGCACATGCCATCATGCTGGGCTAACTTTTTAAATTTTTTGTAGAGATAAGATCTCCCTGCGTTGCCTAGGATGGCCTCGGACTCCTGGACTCAAGCAGTCCTCCTACCTTGGCCTCTCAAAGTGCCAAGATTACAGGTGCAAGACACCACTCCCAGCCTATATTATATATGAATATTTATATGTATTATTGTATTGATGTTGTCTGCCTCCCTTACTAGGGGCAGGGACGGTTATGCTTATTACAATACCCAGAAGAGTGCCTGGCACCTGGTAGGCTCTCAATAAATGTTTACTGGACAAGCTAATTCATGCAATCAGTCCTTCCTTCCTTCACTTGCCATGTATTTCTGGAGAGTCTACCCAGTGCCAGGCCCTGTGCCAGATGCCTGGTTTCCAGCTGTGATGAAAATGCAGACCTGGTCTCAGGATGAAAAGTCATAATTAAAGAATAGGAAGAGGGGGGGACGTGATACTTTCAGAAAGAGAATCTTAGTACATTTCCACAAAACCCTCATGAGGCAGGTATTGTTCTGATTTTACAGCTGAGAGACGTGAAGAGGGGGTGGTTGTAGAGGTGAAGACCCCCTCCCCAGGGTTCTGCAGCCAGCAGGTGGTGCTGCTGCGGTGACCTGAACCCTAGCTGCTCCAGTCCCCAAGGCCTGTGCCCTCCTTGGGCTGGGGGGTACCTTGTGCTGTCGCTGCCGCTCCCGGTACCGCTTGCCCAGTTCCTCCATCTCCTCCAGGGTCATGGGCCGCGCCTCCATCTGCGTGTCGACTGCAGGCACCGTCAGCAGGTCCACCTTGGGAAGCTGTGGGGCTAAATCCACCTCCTGCTTCTTGAGCGGACCTTTCAGGGAATCTTTGTGCTTGGCCAAGATATGACCTAGAGTAGGAGGGAAGAGATGAGGGGAGGTGGGACTAAGAGGGTGCCCGCCAAGCAGTTATCCAGTGTCACCCGGCAGACACCAGGCCACCCCTCTGCTCCCTTCCCACACACCTGAGCTGTGCTGTGGATATGTCCCTCCTCTCCATCTCCACTAATGGCCTCCCATACTGCACCGACCCCAGCCCTCAGCCCTCTGGCAGCCATTCTCATCCTCTGTCACCCTGTTTCACCAAGCAGCAAATTGGATCTTTAAAAAATATAGAGCAGGGCACTCTGGGAGGCCGAGGCGGGTGGATCAGCTGAGGTCAGTAGTTCGAGACCAGCCTGACCAATATGGTGAAACCCCATCTCTACTAAAAATACAAAAATTATTTGGGTACAGTGGTGTGTGCCTGTAGTCCCAACTATTCAGGCGGCTGAGACAGGAGAATTGCTTGAACCCGGGAGGCAGAGGTTGCAGTGAGAAGAGATTGTGCCATTGCACTCCAGCCTGGATGACAGAGCAAAACTCTGTCCCCCCAAAATATATATACATATAGAGAGCAGGGTGCAGTGGCACGCCTGTGGTCCCAGCTACTTGAGAGGCTGCAGTGGGAGGATCGCTTACACCCAGGAATTCGAGGCTGCAGGATTTGAGCTATGATCGCACCTATGAATAGCCACTTCACTCCAGCCTGGGCAACATACGGAGGCCCCACTGCTGAATGTATATGTGGATAGATAGATAGACAGACAGACAAGATCACCTCATTATCCTGGTTTCCCACAGCACTTAGACCAAAACCCAGAGTCCTTTCTCTAGGCTACAAGGCCCTGCTGCACGATCTGGCCTCAGCTGCCTTCCTACCTGGTCCATGGTGTACTGTTCACCCCTTACCCATTCCACCCAGCCACCTGACCACCTTCTATCTCTTGCAAGCTTTCCTGCCCCAGGGCCTTTGCCTTTGCAGTTCCATCTGCCTAGAATGTGCTTTCCCCAAGACTAGTTCCTGTTAATCGCTCAGATGTCTGCTCCAATGTCTGCTTCTCAGAGAGGCCTTCCCTGACCACTAGCCCTTTAGGTGCAAGCTCATCGAAAGCCGGGGCTTTGGCTGGTTCACTGCTGTGTTCCCAGTTTCTAGAAGTGGCACATAGTAGCTGCTCAACAAAGATCCTAATGAATGAAAGAATCCCATTGTCCCTGGCCTGGTTCAGACCTTCAATGTCTCAAGCTGAGGTAATATCCTGACCTTACCAGCTTCTATTGAGGCTGTGAACAAGTGGCTCAGCCTCTATGAGCTCCAGCTTCCTCCTCATAAAGCAGGAATAGCAACCCTGACCTCTGGGGACATGAAGGATAAGCTGAGATCATTCTGCAAGAATGAAAAAGAGCTACTGCAAGAAAAACTATGGGAAGAAGGCACCCCTGCCAAGATGCTCAAACTCTTGCCTCTTTAGACAAAGTAAAAGACACCCTGACAGAGCAGGAGCACCATCATCTCAGACAAACACTGCCACTTTAAGTTCCAGCTCCCTTTCTAGCCTCATGCATTTATTTCAAGGAAATCACTTCTCTTCTAACTACAAGCAGACAGAAAGAGCAGACAGTAAAACACAGATAAGACAGCTTGGGCACAGAGGGAGGTGGGGGGAAAGTCTCGTGGGCAACTGCCAAACTTCATGCTCACACAATGGGCCCCAGTAAAACAGTGGGCCTTAATAAGCACATTCCATTCCCTTCAGGTGCACTAAGACAGGGAAGCTAAAGGCAGACTCTGGGGAGTACACCTGCAGCTGCAGAAAGATGTCTGGGAACAGACACACAACTCTCCCTCCCAGATAAGCACAATAAAGAGACACAACAAAGCCTCTGATAAACTCTCCCACCCTGAATCCTTAAAACTCGTAGTCTGTAAGAGAGTGTGGCTCTGACCTAATTCAACCAGAAGCCCCTCTGAGGTTTGTTTTCTCTAAAATAAACCTGTCTTGACTGTTGAGCCACCTTTCATGTTTCTTTTCTCTCTAATTCTTACACACTCAAGTCTACCTATCTTACCTGCTGTTGCTCCCCAGGGAAAAAGAACTCAGTGATGATGCAAAAATAGCAACATGAGAGCAAACGTCTGCTTCTTGGCTTTGTGTTTAGCTTCTGGGAAATAACAGGCCCCCAAACACCTCTGCTGTGAATGTGCATCACAGCATACTGGGGTCATTCAAATGACTCACAGCCAGCTACACAGATAGTGATGAGCTTGGTAATTTATAACAAAAAGGAACAAAGAGTATAGAGGGAAAGCATGCCCAACTCGAGGTGACCTTAAAAATGTGCTGAATGTAAAGATTACTACTGTTGGGGTGGTGATACATGCAGGAGGTGACTGTTGGGGTGCTTAGATTCCCTGACCTCTGAGACAGGCAGAGACCCTGCTTGGAAGGCGATGGTGTCTCTGCAGGGCAGCTGCCTGAGACTGGACATTGAAAATCTCCTGGAGGACTGAGGAACAGGTGCTCTGAGTTGCATACTGTCCCCAAATGAGCCACTCCAATGAAAATGCTGAGTAACTCCACTTGATGTGACCATGAATGCCAATGGCCTCGCCCTGGATCATTATTACCATTGTAAGGAAACCCCTCCACTGCCTCCTCCAGAGCTCCCGTGTGACTCAGGGAGGACAAGGAGGCCCCAGTCATCTGTGAGATTAAATTCCTGCCAACCTGGTGGATGGAAACAAAGCAAGATTTGTTTCATTTAGAAAAACAAAGCTGTATCTATATTTGGGGAGGGTGCTGGAATGGGTGGGTAGTTGTAATTATTTTTGTTTTTTGTTTGTTTACAACAAGAATGGTACTAAGATATAAAGAAATATTATGCAATGCACCTTTGTGTTGTAGAGTAAATTCACAGCCAGAGCTTTAGCAAGTCCATTTCTAATTTGCTTCTGTGCCTTGTCTGGACAAATGTGGCCCTACAAGTATATCGCTTAAGAGATGGAACTTGAGCTGTGTACAACCTTTACAACTGTTCACAGCAACCCTGCCATAATACCCCTGATAAAAGGATACCAAAATATACTTTCCAGTAAACTCTAAACATATGCAAACTCTGGTTCTGAACAAGAATTTTATCAATAAGCTACAGATTAATAGTGAGAAGGCCCTGGACCCACATACACATAAATGTCTCTGGAAAGGCTTGCCATTTGGGTCAGTTCTCAGTCTCTCAGGTAGGCTTTGGTGGGCCGAGTATCCTCCTCTAAGAATAAGGGCTGGGACTTATTTGTCTTTGAATGGACACAGTGGTAGCTGGGCACTCAAGGAAATGAGTTGATCTCTGGGCCTGAAAATTTCCAGAGACTTGACCAAACTACAGTCAGCCAAATTGGGGAGCACACTGAGGAAGTGAGTTTGGAAAAGAGGCCAAGGCTGCCTACACCATGCTGACTCCCAGGATGGGAAGGTGGAAGCACAGGACGGGGAGGGGTACGCACGCTCCCTTGCAGTGGCCAGGCTGCTCCTTCGCCGAGCCATAGACCACTGCTTATAGGTTTTGACCAGGATATCCATGGTGATGGTGTTGTGCTTCCCAAGAGAGCTGAGATAGATCACTATATCCTCCACTTCCTGGTTCTTCAGAGGGACTCCGACCTGAGGAGAGAGAAGGCCCTGAGACTAGCAGCTCCCATCCAAACATCCTGCTCTGACGGGCAAGGCCTTACCAGCTACCTAAGACCCCCATCGCACTTCCAGTTTCATCCTCAGCCACTCCCTACTCTACCCAAGGTCCCTGCTGCAGGAGCTCAGAGCCTTTTCCCGGTCCTCGAACAAGCTCTGCACTTTCCTACCTTTGCCTTTGCTCAGGCAGTTCTCCCTCTCTGCCTGAAAATCTCCTATCCCTCCTTCAAAGTCCAGTCCAGATGTCACCATCTTTACAGAGTGGGTTACTTCTTCCTCTAGGCTCCCAGCCCGCTTCCTACCAGTCTCAATGGCAGCATCTACCATGCTGGAAGCATGATTTCACATGTGGATCGTCCCTGTCCACAACACATAAATCTCCCTTAACTCCTGTAAAATGGGATCTAGAATACCATATACCTCAAGCAACTCTGGAGGTATATAATGCTTGCCAGCAACATTGGATATTCAATAAGAAAAGTTTTAAAGGAAATATGATTTTGTTCTTCAGTTTCTTTCAACAATAGTCATTGTTCACTGAACTTTACTCAAACTCCTGGCCTCAAGTGATCCTCCTGTCTCGGCCTCCCAGAGTGCTGGGATTACAGGTGTGAGCCACTGTGCCTGACCTTGAACTTTCCTTAAGTAAGATCAGAACTCTCCTGGTGCTGGCGGGGAGCAGTGGCTCACACCTGTATTCCCAACACTTTGGGAGGCCAAGGTGGGCGGATCACCTGAAGTCAGGAGTTTGAGAGCAGCCTGACCAACAAACCCCATCTCTACTAAAAGAAAATTAGCCAGGCATGGTGGCACATGCCTGCAATCCCAGCTACCTAGGAGGCTGAGGCAGGAGAATTGCTTGAACTAGGGAGGTGGAGGTTGCAGTGAGCTAAGACTGTGCCATTGTACTTCAGCCTAGGTGACAAGAACGAAACTCCATCTCAAAAAAAAAAAAAGAACTCTCCTGGTGCTAAAGAACTTAATATTTCACCTTTCTGTTATAGAGATTAAAGACCATAATCTTTAAATGCTTTGAAGTGTTGCTGAGATAATTACATGTCATAAAACATGCATGAGAAAACTGATAATAATTTAAAACCACAAAGACATCACAGTCAACTTTCTAAAGTTGTTTAAGGTATATGTTGTTGTTGTTGTTTGGGTTTCTTTTGAGTCAGGATCTTGCTCTGTCACCCAGACTGGAGTGGTGGTGTGATCAGAGCTCATTTCAGTCTCTAACTCCCGGGCTTCAGTGATCTCCCCATCTGAGCCTCCCAGGTAGCTGGGACTACAGATATGTGCCACCATACTGGGCTAAGTTTTTAAAATTTTTTGTAGAGATGGGGGCCTCACTATGTTACCCAGGCTGGTCCCAAGCTCCTGGCCTCAGGCAATCTTTTCACTTTGGCCCTCTAACATGTTGGGGGATTACAGGCATGAGCCATCATGCCAGGGTAAAGTATCTTGCATTAAAAAGATACAAAAGCTTAATTCATCTAGGCTAGGGGTTAGTAAGCTTTTTCTATAAAAAAGTCAGATGTAAACATTTTACGTTTTGCTAGCCATACGGTCTGTCATACTGCTCAACTCTGCCATGGTAACATGAAAGCAGCCATAGGCAATTCAAGGATGAATGAGTGTGGCTGTGTTCCAATGAAAGCAGGCTGGACTTGTCTCGTGGGCCACAGTTTGCAGACCTCTGCTAGGCCGATACAACTTTCCATGATGATGGAAATGTTCTACTTCTGTGCAGTCCAGTGGAGAAGACACTTGCCACATGTCACTACTGAGCACTCAAAATGTGTGACTGTTGTGATTGAGGGACTGGAGTTTTAAATTTATAATTGATTTACATTGTTAAATAGCCAGTGAAAGTAAAAGTGTGGTCCATGGACTGGTACCACGGGCATCACCAGGAGCTCGTAAGAAATATAGCATCTTTTGATGATCCACAGATATGCTGGGTCAGAAGCTGCATTTCGACAGGACCTCCATGTAACTCATATGCCAGTGACAGTTGGAGACACTCTACCGGCTTTCTCTGATCTCGGTTTTGGGGTCTGCTGTGCAAGATAGGGATTCCCCAAGGTAGCTGGCTGGCTATGAGGTTAACCCTGCAGACTTTCAACTCGGGCAGGGTTTTTCAAGGTCAGACTGGTGCAGGATAGATTTTCAGGATCTGATTTGGCCACGAGTTAATCCATATTTTCCAATTTGGCTTTACAAGTAATAAGACTGATAGTTTTCACTCCTTGTGTGTACTTCTCAGTTGAACCAGAACCTGGTGGTGGGAGGGGGCAAGAGGGAATACATCGACATCCTGCCCACTTAGGCCCATCCAGGGAAAGCAGGTGGCACTTACTGCCTTGACAGCCACGATGAACTCCTCCCTGGTGATTCTCTGGTTCTTGCCCTGGCCCACCTTGTGAAATATCTCCAGGATCTTGATCTTGCGATTGTGCAGGTAGGAGTACATGGCCAACAGGGCAGGGGGCTTGGGCAGCTGGAGCTGGGGCACCATCTGGTGGGAGAGCCAGGGGGCTTTCTTCTGGAAGAGATGAGAGGGTGGGGCAGAGGAGAGAGTTCAAGGGAGACAGGCCAGTGGGATGCGGTCCCCAGAGTCAGGGAGTAAGGAGAGGCCGAGCAACTCTAAATAGCAGGATGGAGTGCAAAGGGCATTGGGTTCAGCGCAACTGTGTTTGGCACAGAATGCCTGGGAGACTTTGCTTCTCTGAGCCTTGGTTTTCACATCTGAAACACAAGGCTTGGACAATATAAGAACTAAAATTTCATTCTTATCCACATGTCTCCTGTCAAACGGTCAGTATCTGTGATCCCACTGGTCTGGTCTCTCAATGCACCAAAACCTATGCCCTTCCCTGGAGCCAGGTGGAGACTCCCCACCCCTGCCCCCAGTCTTTGCATCTGCTATATATAGGCTTCCTGCCTGAAAGACTTTTCCCTCTACCTGTCCAAATCCTCTTCTTCCAATTCCAGGTGAAAGGGCATATTTTGTAACAATGATAAGCCTTTACCTTGGTTCGGCACTGGACAGTTTACAAAGGGCCTTCCCATTCCCTAGGGTATTGTTTCTCTGTGCTCCTCCCAGGGTGCTTAGTATAATAAAGACCCACCTCTTTTTTTTTTTTTTTTGAGACAGAGTTTCATTCTGTCACTGTGGCTGGAGTGCAGTGGCACAATCTCGGCTCACTGCAACCTCTGCTCTGAAGATTCAACCGATTCTGCTGCCTCAGCCTCCCAAGTAGCTGGGACTACAGGGACCCACCACCACGCCTGGCTGATTTTTGTATTTTTAGTAGAGACAAGGTTTCACCATATTGGCCAGGCTGGTCTTGAACTCCTGACTTCAGGTGATCCACCTGCCTCTGCCTCCCAGAGTGCTGGGATGACAGGCGTGAGCCACCATACCCGGCTGAGACCCACCTCTATTAATGGCCTGTAGCAAACTGTAGAGCCATTAATCCCATGTATCTGCCTCCCCCACTAACATGTGAACACCTTGTGCTATGGCTTGAATGTTTGTCTCCTCCAAAACACATGTTTAAACCTGAGTTTTGTTAAGCCACTTGCCACATGTGACTATTGAGCACTCAGAATGTGGCTGGTGTGATTGAGGGACTGGATTTTTAAATTTACAATTAATTTATATTATTAAATAGCTAGCGAAAGTAAAAGTGTGGTCCATGGACCAGTACCACGGGCATCACCAGGAGCTCATTAGAAACGCAGCATCTTTTGATGTCCCATAGATGGGCTGGGTCAGAAGCAACTTAATACTGTTATCAACAAAATGGTATTAAGAGGTGGGGCCTTTAAGAGATGATTGGGTCATGAAGGGTCTGCTCTCATGAATCCATTAATTCATTTATGAATTAATGGATTAACGGGCTAATGGACTAATTGGTTATCATGGAAGTCGGTTCTTTATCATGAGTGGGATATGCTATAAAAGCCAGTTTGAGGCTGGATGTGGTGGCTCACACCTGTATCCCAGCACTTTGGTAGGCCAAGGTGGGGGGATCACCTGAGGTCAGGAGTTCGAGACCAGCCTGACCAACATGATAAAAGCCCATCTCTACTAAAAATACAAAAATTAGCCAGGCGTGTTGGCATGCACCTGTAATCCCAGCTACTCAGGAGGCTAAGACAGGAGAATTGCTTGAAACCAGGAGGTGGAGGTTGCAGTGAGCCGAGATTGAGCCACTGCATTTCAGTCTGGGGAACAAGAGTGAAACCCCCCCCCCCCCCCAAAAAAAAAGCCAGTTTGGCTCCCTCTCGTGCACCCCCTCACCCTGAGATGCCTTCCACCATGTTAGGATGCAGCACGAGGCCCTCCCCAGTGGCCAACTAGATGTGGCTGCCCACTCTTGGACTTTCAGCCTCTAGGACTGTGAGCCAAAAAAACCTCTTTTTTAAAATAAATTACCCAGTCTCAGGTCTTCTGTGATAGCAAGAGAAGCCCAACTAAGACACCTTGGAAGCAAGACCATGTCTTATTTACAATGTATCCCCATCTCCCACCCTTATACTGAACAAAGTCCAGGCCCTAGGTATGAGGTACTACCTAATTCACAATAAGGAATCAGGCTCAGAAATGTGAAGGGTTTTCCCAAGGTCACACAGCAGGTAAGCAGTAGAGCTGGCTTTCTAACCCAAGTCTAGTTCTTATTCATAGACACCATGCAGCTGGCAGAAGAGGGTGTGTGTGACCCATGAAATTAGGGTTTTGGGCTGGGCACCGTGGCTCATGCCTGTAATCCCAGCATTTTAGGAGGCCAAGGTGGGCGGATCACGAGGTCAAGAGATCGAGACCATCCTGGCCAACAGGGTAAAACCCCGTCTCTACTGAAAATACAAAAATTAGCTGGGCATGGTGGTGCACACCTGTAGTCCCAGCTACTCAGGAGGCTGAGGCAGGAGGATCAGTTGAACCTGGGAGGCAGAGGTTGCAGTTAGCTGAGATTGCAGCACTGCACTCCAGCTTGGTGACAGAGTGAGACTCTGTCTCAAAAAAATAAAAAATGAAAAAAGAAATTAGGGTTTTAGCTATAATATCAGCAAGGACTGACCCTGAAGTTTCTGGGCCAACCAACCCAAAGGACACCTATGAGACTACAATAATAATACAGATGGAAAACATGTTTGAATGCTCACTCTGTGCCCAATAGTGTCCTAGGCACCTTGAATCCATTTAGACATCATAGCTACCCCAGGAAGTAGGAACAATGGTTATCTCCATTTTATAGATGAGGAGACTAAGGCCCAGATCATACAGCTAGGAAGTAGCAAAGCTATGTTTAAACCCAACTTACCTGACCTCCTACCCTAAGGAAATGTCACAGAGAGAGAAGGAGTTGGTAGTGCACTTATCACTTACTATGACTGTATGTTTGGACAAATGTTGGCCTCACTGAGCCTCTATTTTCACATTTGTAAAAGGGGACCCTCCTTTTCCTCCCAACCTCACACCCATCAGCCTCACGATAGCCCTGCGAGCACCTGCTTGCTACATGGAGCCCTTGGCAAATATTCTCTTGTCAATAAACAAATGAATGAATGATGGGTATTTTACAAATATCCCATAAGATGGACTGCCAGGAATGATCCCTTCTTGAGTGGTTTTGAGGTATGTCCACAAGTTATTCTGTGTTCCTCCTCAGATGGAGTCTTCTTTCCTGCTTGAGTGTGGGCAGTACTCAAGGACTCACTTCTGACAAAGAGAAGGTGGTGGAAGTGATAGTGTGAGACTTCTGAAACTGAGACCTTCGGAGGCTATGTCCTAAAGGGCACTGCAGCCTCTGTCTTGCCCTCTTTTTTGGACCCTTCACTCTGGGGATGCCAGCAGCCATGCTGTGAGGACATTCAAGCAGCCCCATGGAGAGGTCCGTGTGGGGAGGAGCTAAGGCCTCCTGCCAACAGCCACATGGGTGAGCCAGCTTGGAAGCCTTCAGATGACTGTGGCCCAGGCCAGTATCTCGACTGCAACCTCATGAGAGACTCTGAGCCAGAGCCACCTAGCAAAGCTACTCCCCAATTCTTGACTCTAGAAACTGTGTGTGATCATAAGCATTTGTTGCTTTCAGTCATTTTGGGGTGTTTGTTACACAGCAATAGATAACTAGATAGCTAATACACCTCCCTCTCAAGACTTCTGTTTGCTCCTCTGTGAAATGGGGTGAACTATCCCTATCCAGCCTAACCAACAGAATGAAATGACAATGCAGCCCTAAACCCTTGGTGTCTTCATCTGGCAGATGGGGCTGCTCACCCTGGTGGTCCTGGTAGTCGCCAGGGAGGCGTCTGGCAGGGATCCACTCTGCTCCTTGGGGATCATGTGTAAGACCTTGGCCTCCAAAGGCGTGATGCTAGGCTTGTTCTCCAGCCATCTCTTTACATCGCCAAAGGACTCTAGCTCCTGCCGCAGCTTCTCCCTCCGGCTCAGCCAGGTCTTCCTGTCCTCTGGCTGCTCTTGGATATCTCTAGCTTCCAGGGCTTTGAAGCTGGGGATGGGCTTTGGAGGAGCCTGAGGTTGGGGTGTAGGATTAATGGGTATCTGATCCTCCTTGCGAGGCACGATGATGATTCGCCGGCGGCTCTGCGGCAGGCGGAGGTCCTTCTGCTTGAACTGCTTGAAGCAGTGGCCAATGACCAGTTCAGGATCAAAGACAGAGACATTGTTGGCATTTTCACTGAAGGAAGTCTTAGACGGGCAGAGTCCTGGGGAAAGAGAGTTAAAAGGTGAGTTTCTTTCTGGAACAGGACTAAAAGGAGCCAGGAAGGAAAAATGCTTTTGCTCCAGGCTGGGTATCAAGCTCTGGATCCCAGGCCTAGCTTTCTCATTGTCCTGCTGTAATGATAAGGATAATTTCATCGAATGTGACCCAGCCCTCCCAACAGCAGGCAGCAAGCTAAGGGCTCTATATGCTTTCTCTTATTTAGTCTTCTCCATACACAGCACTAGGAGCAGAGGCTTTGGGGCCAGAACGCTCCTCCGTCTGAGTCCTGACCCTGCCACATACTGGCTGTGTGATCTTGAGTAAGCCACTTCTCTGTCTCAACCTCTTCTTTTGTAAAATGGGCATAATGATGGTAACCTATTTTATTGCAGTCAATGTATTAGAGTTGTTTGTACATAATCTATCTGCCATTATTGGCATATACTCACCATTCACTCATTTTGAAGCCCTTCCACGACTTTTTATAGCCCTCAAAATGAAGTCCCATGCCCCTCTTCTGTCAACCTGTCCCCCTAATCCCTTGCCTCTCTTTCCTTACTACGTCCTGGACACCTGGGCTTCTCTCTGTTTCTTGAGTGGTCCAAGGCTCATCCTGACTAGGTAAGGGCACGTGCTCCTCCTTCTAGCATGAGTGCTTCCACCTTTCCATCCCCCGGCACTCCTCATCCTCCGGAGCCCATCCTTGCATCACAACCTGAACCTTCCTTCAGACCACTTATCACAACCAGACACATCAAGGGCTGAAAACCGGTGGCCCTCATGCTGAATGAGGGCTGAGGTCTTGTTTTGTTTGACACCTTGCTTGGCATTTTTCAATCTGAGCTACTTTAGGCTAAGGCATTGCCCTCTTCACCTTGCCACAGGCTCCCCCATTCCCTATTGTCTCATAGGTAGTTCATTTTGTTTATTAAGTCCCTAGTTTGGGCAGCAATTTGCCTTTGAGACACCCGGTGCAATTACTTGGTTGATGTTTATTTTTTCTAGTAGACTATGAGCTCCATGAAGACTGTAACCCTATCTCTCTTGTTCCCTACTGGAGCCCTGACACTTCAATAGTGTCTACATATAATGGGAACTCAGTACATACTTGGTGAGTGGCAAATGGACAGACCTATGATGCTGGTACTATGATTATGCCCATTTTACAGATAAGGACACTGAGGCCCAGAGAGGCCCAAGGTCACTCAGTTGATTAGTAGCAGAGCTGAGACATGAACTTCAGTTTGCCTGGCCCCAGAGCTCAGATCTTAGCTGTTACTTGATATTACCTAAGGCTGTCACCCTATCCTGCTAAGTCTCAAGTATTTTACTTATGAAATGGTATAAACTCTGCTCTATCTACCTCTTGAAGTTGTTATGAAGATCAAATGAGATACAGTTTGAAAGTGTTCTAAAAAATCAGAAGGGGCCAGGCATGGTAGCTTATGCCTGTAATCCAAGCACTTTGGGAGATTGAGGTGGGAAGATTGCTTGAGCCCAGGAATTCAAGACGAGCCTAGGCAACACAGTGAGACTTCCTCTGTACAAAAAGTTTTTTAAACTAGCCAGGCGTGGTGGTGCACATCCGTAGTCCCAGCTCCTTGGGAGGCTGAGGTAGGAGGATCACTTGAGCCTGGGAGGTCAAGGCTACAGTGAGCTGAGATTACCCCCACTGTACTCCAGCCTGGGCAACAGAGTGAGACTCTTTTCCAAAAAAATAAAAAAATGCAGAAGGGATATAACACTCTTATTGGAAATACTGTCACTGTCATTTTCCTCCTAAAACCCAAACTCCCCAAACTCCCTCGCTTAAAACCTGTCCATGGCTCCCAACTGCCTCTAGAATAAAGATCAAACTCCTTAACCTGGTCCCACTTGGTCCCCTCACCCCTGCCAGCTTCTCTAATTTCTCTGGCTCCTTCTCTGGCCCTTTCTGCCTTCCCTTGTGTTTGTATCCAAACAGATGTGCCCCACCAACACACATGAGCCATGCTGTTTCCTCCCCATGACGTGCTTTTCTCCCTCCCTCTTCACTGTTGATCCCTGACTCATCCTGTGAGACTCATCAGGCATCCCAGGCCCCTTGAAGCCCTCCCACTCCCTCTCTCATGGTCCCTCTGGGTCCCATAGCCCCTATACTTAGTCCCATCATGGCATTTACCATATTTTTCTGAAATGAAGATGCTTTCTGCATTTTTCTTTCCCAGCAGCCTGTGAGTTTCCCAGTGTTAAGGACTGTATCTTTCTTCCCCTGTGTCCTCGGTGCCCAGCCTGGCCTAAAGTGGACATTCAGTACATTTGTTAAGTCTCTTTACAAGGCCCATGTGTTCCTTTCATAGTCAGCAAACAATAAAAGTAAACATCATGGCATGGTTTGCATCTGTGTCCTTGCCCAAATCTCAAGTCAAATTGTAATCCCCACTGTTGGAGGAGGGGCCTAGTGGAGGTTATTGGATCATGGGAGAGGATGTCCCCCTTGCTGTTTTCAAGATAGTGAGTGCTCACGACATCTGGTGGTTCGAAAATGCGTAGCACCTTCCCTTGCTCTGTCTTCCTCCTTCTTGGGTTATGTAAGATGTGCTTGCTTCCATTTTGCCTTCTGCCATGATTTTAAGTTTCCTAAGGCCGTCCCAGTCATGCTTCCTGTACAGCCTGAGGAACTGTGAGGCAATTAAACCTCATTTCTTTAAAAATTACCCAGTCGCAAGTAGTTCCTTATTGCAATGTGAGAACAGACTACCACACATCAATAGGGATAGAAGTGAGCACTTCTAAACACCACACATATCGTTACTTTGACCACAAACAAAAGTCCACTCCCAGCAGGGGATGACTGAGAATGTAGTCAGTCATCAAACCAGTATTTATTGAGAATCCCCCAGGGCTTGGTGCTTTACCAGGTGCAGATTAAACCAGGCTGGGCACCTACCATGGTTCACCCAATCCCAGTGCACCCAACGGAACAAGGTGGGGCACCCAGAGGGCAACAAGATGTTCTCAATTGGGGGAGAAACTCTGATTACGGGAACTGGGAGGGCATCAAGGAAGAGGTGTCTTTGATGTGGACCTTCAAGAATGGTCTGGTTTCGGCCGGGCGCGGTGGCTCAAGCCTGTAATCCCAGCACTTTGGGAGGCCGAGGCGGGCGGATCACGAGGTCAAGAGATCGAGACCATCCTGGTCAACACGGTGAAACCCCGTCTCTACTAAAAATACAAAAAATTAGCTGGGCATGGTGGTGCGTGCCTGTAATCCCAGCTACTCAGGAAGCTGAGGCAGGAGAATTGCCTGAACCCAGGAGGCGGAGGTTGCGGTGAGCCGAGATCGCGCCATTGCACTCCAGCCTGGGTAACAAGAGTGAAACTCTGTCTCAAAAAAAAAAAAAAAAAAAAAAGAATGGTCTGGTTTCAAGGGGTGGAGGGGCGGGATGGGAAAAGGTCAGGGGCGGGGATTTAGGGATTTTAGGGTCACCAGACAGTTCCACATGTTGGAAGCACACTGTGTAAAGGAGGTGGTTAGTGGAAAATAAGGTTGGTGTCATCTCAAATGCCAGGCTAAGAGATTGAAACCTCGCCCTGTAGGCCACGGGAACAGCAAACCTGCTCCGCACAAGTCTTGCTGCTCCCATTTGCATCCTTCCTAGATCCCTAATCCCTGTTCTGCCCCCAGCCAGGAGAGCCTTACAAATGTGAATTCAATCTGTCCCTTCCTCATTTGAAACCATTCAATGGCTTCTTAGTGCTCTTTGAATACCTGCCTCCTTCTGTGGCCTACAGAGCTGCCTTCAGTGGCCCTGCTCCCCACTCTTCCCTGTCACCTCCCAGCCCCCCCCATGTGGTCCCAGCTGCACTGTCCTCCTTTCTGTTGTCTGAGGCGCCTCACTCCTTTCTCTGCATTTGCTGTGCCCTCTGAAGAGCACTGCATTCCCCAGGGCTTCCCCTGGCCAAGCCCTTCTCCTTACATAGTTCTAAACCTGCGCAAGCTCCCGACCACCCTTTCCAAGGGTGCCTGCCCAACACACCCTCCTCAGGGAGCTTCATTCTAGTACTCTTTGGAGTTCTGTGTCCATTGACAGAAAGGGAAGTGGGCTCTTCTAATAAAAGAAGCTGTCATTGTGTAGTTATGGGTAGAGACAGTGTAACAACGTTCCTAGGAAATTGGTGAGGAAAGCTCTCAGACGTCAACCAGTTCAATCACATGCCCAGGTCAGGGACGCTTTCCTCAGTGCTGCTGGCAGACTCTGCCTCCCTTTACACACCTCCAGTGACGTGGAGCTTTCCACTTAACATGGTGGGCACTAAACTCGGACTGCTAGAAAATACTTCCTTACATTGACCCAGAATTTGTTTCCCTGGACTTTCTACCCCTTGATTCTAGTCCTCCCCAGGGAGGTCCCAGGAAACACACTTGTTCTCTCTTTTCTCGGACAGCCTATAGGTGTCTGGAAATAATACTACTCTTTCTTGAAATTCTCCCTGCTCTTGGCTTGATTCAATCTCTCACTAAGTCCAATTCTACCTCTCTGGCTACTGTTTTTGGGTCCCTCTTTTCCTGTCTATTCCTTAAAGGTTGATGCTTTCCAGGCTTATACCCAGGCTCTCTTCGCTTTTCAAATAATCCCTTCCACTCTCACGTTTCTATGACCTTCTGTATGCTGGGAACACCCATACCAATATTTTTTATTTGGAATTAGCTTCAAGTTTATACCTCCAGTTGCTCCTAAAACATCTCCACTTGGATGGCTTACAGAGATCTTTTTTTATTATTTATTTTTAACTGAGACAGGGTCTTGCTCTGTTGCCCAGGCTGGAGTACAGTGACTCAATCACAGCTCATTGCAGCCTTGAACTCCTAGGCTCAAATGATCCTCCCAGCTCACACTCCTGAGTAGCTGGAATTACAGGTGCATGCCATTATGACCGACTAACTTCTAAAAACAATTTTGTGGAGATGGGATCTCACTATGTGGCCCAGGCTGTTCTCAAACTCCTGGGCTCAAGCAATCCTCCTGTCTTGGCTTCCCATAGTGCTGGGATTACAGGCGGGAGGTACTGTGCCCAACCACTGACAAGGATCTTAAACTCAACCAACCAAGACTAGATTTGTCTTTGTGCCCCTGCCCCCCACTAACTGGGTCCTGTGAGTACGTTCTCTATCTCTGTGGAAGACGCCTCCATCTACCAGGTCCCCCAGCTGCCAACTTGAGCACCATCTTTATTTGCCTCTTTGGTGTTCCCTGACCAACAAGGCCCTAAGTCCCTGTAGTACCTTCTAGCCTGGGTCTTCTCCCTTACCTCCCAGCATCTTTAGCATAGGCATTTGACCAGAGCCCTGATCTATGTGCCTGGGAAAGGTGACCAGGCTCTCCAGCTTGCCTCATTTTTCCACTGGGCATTAATGTGTTCAGTGCTGGAGAAGGGGCATGGAGAAGACCTTCAGTCTTCAAGCTTTACAGCCCCAGCTCTCCTCTCCCCACACCAACATTCTGAGGCTCCCAACTCAGTCTCAGGCCTTTGCTGACTGCTCCTAATCCAGTCCTGCCACTCCCAGTGACCTCTCCATCTCCTGGCTTGCAGGTTCTTTCATGATCTTGTCCTTTCTGACCTCCCTCACCTCGTTTCCAGAGACACTCAAACACTAGACCTCTTGTGGCATGCTGTTTTCTTGCCCGAAATGCTTTTCCTTCTCCTTTTGGCTTGGAGAATGCCCCTTTATCCTTTAAGCTCCAGTGAAAAGATGTTTTCCAGGAGCTTGGAACTGTTCCTCCCCATCCCATACCCTCAGCACATCTTTTACTCCTGGATGTCATCCCTGGGCCCGGCCTTCATCCTTCTTATTCTGCAATTATCCATTTATCTCTGTCCTTTACCTGTGAAGCTGCATTGCTTTGCCAAGAACTTGGTCCCTAGTATATTACTATCAAAACTTTGAAGACTGACGTCTTCTCCATGCCTTCCCTCCAGTACTGAATACATTAATGTCCCGCAGAGAAACAGGGCAATCTGGAGGGCTCCCGTCACACGGGTCGGGCCTCTGGTTCCAAGGCAAGGCAACTTGCCTTGCTCCTCCAACTAGGCCCAGGTGAAATCTCAGAAATGTGCATAACCTGCCCCCGACTCCATGGAAACCCCTCATCCGAGGGGGACGACACAATGAGATCTGTGGCCGGGTTTTTGCCCTCACCCCACTTTCACATGTCTCGAGGGAGCTGAGCGCTTCCTGCAGACGCTGCTTCCCGGGACTTACCGAGCAGCGACAAGAACAGACTGTGGTACGCTTCATAGTCATCGTCCATGGTCGCGGTGCTGAAGGGTGTGTGTGAATGTGTGTTGCTGTGGGCTTGCTCACGTGGGAGTATCGGGGTACCAGAAATTCAGTAACCCCAAGTCCTGCGAAAGGTGCTCAGTACGGAAGGCAGAAGCAACCTGTTGCCTTGGCTATGGACGCCCCGCGCCGATTGGCTGGACGCTGCCACGTGCCAGGAGCGAGCCCTCCCCGCCGAGCGCCTGGTGACCCCACCTCCTTTTCCGTCCAATTCTGGAAGAGGCGGCGAGCCAATCCACGCCGTGCACAGTTCCGGGCTTGGTGAAAGGCGGGATTTCTTTGTTCTGCCCAGTGGCCCCTGAATCTGGTGTAGAAATGTTTCGGTTTTCCCGTGAAGTATGGGACCTTCTGCAGGTCTCCATTATTTCTAGGCCTCAGTTTTCTCATGGGAAAAATAGGCCCTGCCTCCGCCAGAGGATTAGGAAGAACCAAAGTGAGCTGTGGCCAGATAGAGGCAGGGTGTTTGGTATGTTCTGCCCCGCTTATGGCAGGGTGCCATAGTCTGGAGTTACAGAACCTGAGGACCGGAGAATACTAAACTCTTGAAATGTGCATCACCTGATAAACAAAATGAGGTCTATCCATAGGATGGCCATAAGAAAGAATGAAGTACATGCCACAATATGGATGAACCTTCAAAATAGTATGCTAAGCAAGAAGCTAGACACAACAGGCCAGGTGCTGTATGATTCCATTTATGTGAAATGTTCAGCATAGACAAACCTTCAGACACGGAAAGTAGATTAATGGTTGCCAGGAGATGGGGGTGAGGAATTGGAAGTGACTGCTAACAGGTGGGGAGCTTCTTTTTGAAGTGGAAAAAAGAAACACAAACTTCTGGAATTCGTGATGATGGCTGCACATTGTAAATGTACTAAAGCCATTGAATTGTACATTTTAAAATGGTTATATGGTGGCTTTTAGCTCAATTTTTAAAAAGTTTAAACACCTGAGCACTCATTCCTTTGCTCAGACAAGCTATCTTTGTGAGCCTCTCAACCTGAGACGGTTGCCATGGGCCACATTTACGCAGCACTCTTGCAAGCCAGGCACCATTTTAGCTCATGTCTAAATTTCATAATTACAATCATTGTGTAAGGTAGACACCACAATCCCATTTTTCAAAGATGAGTTAACAGGTACAGAGGTCAGGCAACCTCACCTGCAAGAAAGGGGAAAAGCCAGGCCTATAGCGTGACCAACCCGGCTGTGTCCTGAGCTCCACTGGAGCAGAGCTTGCCTCCTGCATTCACACAGGCCCACTCTCCCCATGGAGATGCTGGGGAGAAGGGATGTGACCACCAGCCATGCCACAAAGCCACACCTGATACCCTGAGCTTGCCCCACACCCTCCAGCCCCAGCTAAGTCCAAGATTTCAGAGGTCCCTCTCTACCTTAGCTGCCATATTTGGGTGTCTTGTCCCTACATCTTACCCATTTTGTTCCCTTCCATTATCAGGTGCCCTTCTTTCTCTTTGTGAGGGTCTGTACAGAACTGTTGGTTATCTCTGTAGCCCTCCCGAGCACAGGGCTTTGTACTTTGTGAATGCGACTTGGATGTTTGTTAAATGAAAATGTGATTAGAAATTATAAAGTGGATGTTTGCCTAGAGGAGAGGGAGGTGTGGCCAGTTTTCCTGTTCTCTAGTCAAAATCCATCCTTCTAAAACCTGACACTAAAGTGGAAACAACCAACTACCTCTGCATCACACTGCAGCCTGATTTGGTCCACGCTGCCCTACAACAAAGGCAGTTTTCTGAACTGTTTATTTTTCACTTATTCAATCAATTTAATTTTGAAATTATACCTTAAAATGGTAGTTGCTAATTAAGACTTAATAACTAGTTTTTTCGCTTGGTTTCTTTCCAATAGTAAATGCTTTGGTATTTTAACTATAACAATACTTGTAATAAAAATGGCATAAGACTTACTATTTTCTTTTGAGACAGGGTCTTGCTGTGTCATCCAGGCTGGAGTACTGTAATATAATCATAGTTCACTGTAGCCTCAATCTCCTGGGCTCAAGTGATCCTCCCACCTCAGCCTTCTGAGTAGCTGGAACCACAGGTGTGTGCTACTAGGCCTGACTAATTTTTAAAATTTTTTTGTAGAGATGGGGGTCTCACTATGTTGCCCAGTCTGGTTTTGAACTCTTGGGCTCAAGCAATCCTCCTGCCTCAGCCTCTCAAAGTGCTAGAATTATAGGTATAAGCTACTGTGCCTAGCCAAATGGTATAAAACTCCAAATGGAAGAGAAATGAGTTTTCACAAAGGGACCAGGGTAAAAGGCATAGCGAGTGAGCTGAAATGGAGCAGCAGGCATATACTCACATTAGGTTATTAAATGGATGCTGGGATGGAATCTACAATTCCTAAGGGCCAGTGTGGAGCTGTCAACAATACACAATGCCAGAGGAATCTTATTTGTCTTTTAGAGTTAGCTTTTTAAAAAAATATGTATTTTTTGAGACAGGGTTTCTCTCTCATCCAGACAGGAGTGCAGTGGCATGATCACGGCTCACTGCAGCCTTGACCTCCTGGGCCCTCATGAGCTCAAATGATCCTCTTGCCTCAGCCTCTTGCCTCAGTACACCACCACACCTGCCATAAAAATATTTAGTGAGACCCTTCCTTTAGCAAGGTTGACAGAAATTTGCTTTGCATTATTGATAGTTTAGAAAGGTATTTTTCACCTTCTGACTACATTTCATTATTGGAAAAGCCATAGACATTTTTAAGATTGTTGTCAAATAATTTATTTTTTAAAAAAATCTCAAAACATGTTCAAGCACATTTGGTAGCAAAGATCCGCCATGGCACACACATTAAGAAAGCACACACACTAGGCTTCTAGTTGGGCTAATTAAAATCTAAATGGCTGGAAAGGTGGTTGGCTGTACTGAATAATGCTTTTTTGAAGTGCAATACTATGCATAACAGATGAGCTTGAAAACTGCAGAGTTTAAGACAGACTTAATTTTTCATGATTTTCCCAAAGCCAGTCATGATATTTATTTAATTTGTGGTCTTCAGGGTGCACCTGGAAGAAATGCAACACATGAGGAGGCAAAGACCTTAATGTAACTTAGTCAGAAATATATATTTTTAAATTGGCTTTTTAAATGTTTGCTTGGGGACAGTACATTATGATAATATACCTAAAAGTTATAACCTTTAACCTCGTGGGATTCATGATGTTTTAAGTTATACCTTATGTTAAGGTAATCCCATAAAGTTTCCAAAGTACTGTCCAAATTACTACTCACCATGAACTGGAGTGTGAGGTGGTGATGACATGAGCCAAGTACCTCCCACTTTCCAGAAGGAGGTTATAGACCCTGAGAGGTTAAATGGTCACAATAGATTGCTCTGATGAAGCAGGGATAGGACCGTGGTCCTTCAGTTCAGGCTCAGCCAGACCTACTGGCTGAATGCAAGAGGGTGAGTCTCAAGCTGACTGGGCAGGACACCAGGCCACCCACCAGCTGCCAGGATGCCACCAGCATGAGGGCTGGGCATATTTAACAGGGCTGAAGTGGGACATAGTCATCACAAAAGTAGTCTGAGACCACTAAGAGAAACCCAACAAGCATATATTCTAGGCCCAAAACTTCCTAATTTCCTAGAGTGGTATACTTTTGACAGGACGCTTAGAGACAGCACACAGATGGGGATGGACAGTAGCAGGGCCACAGACTGCAAACCACTGGAGATGAGTCAGAGGCCAGGCCTCTGGACTGGTCTTGTGGACTTGGGAGTGCCTACAGATCAAAAACCCCAAAATCCCATGCCACCCGCTTCCCCGCAGCCAGGAACAAAATCGGTTGTGACTGTAATAGCATTTGTGTCCAATAAATAGTTTTAACCACAATGGTGGACTTATTTTGCCTCAGAGACTAAATGTGCTGAATTATGGATGGGAGTGGGCCTCACCTGCTTCCACTCATTGACACAAAAAATTCGGTAAGAGTCGTTGCCATATTTACCAATCCCATGGAGTTCAATCGGATACTTCCACTGCTTTGTCAGATATTCATCTGAAGAATACAACACCCCACATATCAGGTCAGCTTCTAAAGACACCCTCCCAAAATGTGTGGTGATGGGGCAGGATGGAGAGAACAGCAGAAAGGGCAGGAAAGGCTCTTTCCAGGCAACCCCAGCTGTGACTGCTCTTCCTTCTGAATTCCTGCAGCACCCATATCATTAGCCAATTCCTAACCACTATTTTGTGCTGTGCTAATGAGACAGAGGTCATGTCCTCGAAGTCAAGAACTAGGCTTTCTGCTTCACTGACTTCTTCCCCTAATTCTGCTCACATGCCTGACCTAGTGTCGGGCAAAGATTTATTGTTTGGGTCAATGGGAGACTGTGATTTGGGGAAAGTGGGCTTTTTAAAATGCCTTTGGTGCTTGAGCTGAAAAACCGCCATTAATATAATATTTGAGGACATTAAAGTTTAAGGTGTGGCTCTCTTAAACAGGCACAACGTATTATGTTTTTCCTTTGGGTATGTGGGAAAGTACCTGAGAACTTGACAATGGTTTTTGCCCGAAGATCGTAGAGACCAAGAGGTTTAAGAAGTTCTGACACATCTCTCCAGTCTGCGTTTCTTGCTACCTCAGCTGAAGGGTACTTCTCCAGAAACTTCCAAAGCACAGGTATTGCCATTTTGCCTGGGAAGTAAAAGTAACTGTATGATTACAAGACTCCAGATGGGCTGATTTCACCTTCAAGTAGTTTCTCATCTAGAAATCTCATCCAGAGGGTTTTTAAAAAAAAAAAAAAAAAAAAAAAAAAAACCCCACTGGTGAGAAGCCATTATCTGAACCAGCAACCATTTCAGAATCTAATGCCAACACTGCTACTATATTGGGCTAGTAGTCCAAGTTATGCTGAAAACTGGCCTTGCATGATTAGCTTTTAAATAATCAGATCAGCAGATAATAAAAGTAGAAGCACATAGAACACAAGGTACATTCACTAAAAAAGATACTTTTAAATACACACGACAGAGGGTGGAGAAAAGTTAACTGATTTTCATTGGCGATCAAAACTAATTTGGAAGTCGAAAATAAATGAAAATCTACCTCTTTATTCTAAAAGATCTGTTGGATATCATCTAGTCTAACTTCCTCATAGGTGAAGAGCTTAAGGGTAAAGGGGGAATGCCTTATCCCAGGTGACACACTCAAAATGGACTTTGAAGCCAGGCCCCAATTCAGTGCTTTCTCCTTACCACACTGTCTCTACTAAGACAAAGATGATAATAATCCCCAAACCTGAGGTCCGATTGAGGAATATAGTAGCGATGAGAAGCTTCCATGGATCGTGAAAAAGTGTTTCTTGAACGAGATTAAAAGGTGACCGAGGAGGTGTCCATTTCTTAAAGACTTTACGTCTTGGGGGGCTAAGAGCTAAACAAACATACTGCATCAGAATTGAAAACCCAAAATAGAATTAGAATTCGCTGTTCTGATTGGGAAAGGGATACCTTCTTTGTTATATTTGCTGGAAAAATACAGGCTTGTTTTCCTTCTTTCTATCTGTGTTCGTGGGATGGTATCTTCTGAAAAGGAAAAGTGAACACTTTATTGAGTCTATGTTTAGCTTACAGGAATATTCAGGGATGCAAATAATAATATCAATGCTATTATAAAGCATGCCAGGCACTACTCTAAGCCCCTCACAAAAATTACCCAACTAATCTGACTAATGACCCATGAACTTAGTACTATTTTATCTCCACTTTACAGATAAGGACATTGAAGCACAGAGGAGCTAAGTAACTTGCTCAAGGTCACACAGATACTAAGTGTCGGAGCTAAAATCCAAATCCAGGCAGTCTGGCTCCTCAGTCCTCACCTTTAAGCACTCTGTGACACTAGTTCTTTACGACTTACTTTCAGAGTTTATAGTATTGAAAAATTAAAAGCAATATGGAATATATTTAATTATGATACATTTGTATAATGCGGTCATTAAAATATTTTTGAGACACTATTGTGTATATTTTCCCATTAACTTTTAAGTGAAAAAGAGCAATGGTCTACACATGATCCCAATTTTATAAAAAGGGGAAATATATATAAATAAAAACAGAGAGGTTAAGAATGAAATAAACCAAAATGATATAACAGTTGTTGCTAAGTGCTAATTTTTCTTTCTTTCTTTACTTTTCTATATTTTCCCAAAATTTCTGCAGTGAATACTTACTTTTACATTTACCAAAAAAAAAAAAGGGGGGAATCAGACAAAACAGAATCTACAGGAAAACCTACAATTTGAATCCTGGAGCATCTGAGACAACTACCTATTGAGAATCTCTATCTACTGGGAACCAGTGTTATCAGACTTCTCAAATTTCTAAAATCACATGTTAATACTCCTTAGCCATACCCTCTCAATTTGAGTATGAGTTAATAATACCTTGCATTTGTATAGCATCTTTTTCACTTCTCTTTTTATTTTACAGTATTTTTGATGTGAAAAACAGGACTAGTCAGGGTGGTTACCTCTATTTTACAGATGAAGAAACAAAGGCTTCGAAATTAAGCAATCACCCCAAAATGATACTGGGATTGACTATAAACAGGGACAAGTATCCAGGTCTCCAGATAATTAGACTAGTGTTTTTTTGCCATTTTACTTTGAATAGGTAAAGCCCAGTAGAGAGTAAAAAACAGAACAAAGGAAACTGCTCTGACTAGTTATTTGACAACCTTTTCTCTGGGCTCCTATAAATAATTACTAACTAGTCTCCTTTATGCCAAGTTTACTTGGCAATTTCTAGCTAAGCCAATGGGAATCTTTACTATTTCATGGGACACCTAGTAACGTAAGAGTACTTCATCTCATGATGAGAACTAGACTTTTTTTGTTTTTGAGATGGAGTTTTGCTCTTTTTGCCCAGGCTGGAGTGCAATGGTGCGATCTCAGCTCACCTCAACCTTCACCTCCCGGGTTCAAGTGATTCTCCTGCCTTAGCCTCCCAA